CCATCACCAATTATTTTTATTTATAGAAACATTTTCTTTTGATTCTCCAAGTACATCATTTGTCACTTGTTTGACAATGTTTGTTACTTCTTCTCACAGAATTTGCTTCTTCATGAACATCTTAAATCTTGAAATTTACTCATAAAAATAATTTTATAAACATCTTAAATCTTGAAATCTTGAAATTTACTCATAAAAATAATTTTATTTATTTTTTTGGTGTCTCTATCTAATTCATGAATAATGATTCCTAGTATTCTTTATCTTACAACTCTTTATCTTAAAATTCATAACTACTAATCGATGTTGAGTACATAAATTTTCATTTAGAATGACCATACAATCAGGACAACAGAAAAAATTGTTAAGAGAAAAACAATTAAATATGCAATTTTATTAAAAAAAGAATAATAATCAAATTGGTTAATGATTCATTTTGGGTTGATATGAAATTGAACCAAGATGAGTAGGGCCTGTTCCATCTTTTTCAAGTCAATTTAAAAATCAAAACCTAACTTGAATCTTACATGGACTATTCCAAAAATGAAATTTTAGGTCCCTTTTTGCATCTAATTTAATCTTAACACCTTTAACTAAGATTGCTTCATTTTTTGTGTTTTAATAGCCTTCTTTGCTATAAGAGTGAAGTGAGCCTTCTTTTAAGTCATTTTTTTCCATACTCCATCAAAGCTATTTTTCCACTTACAAAATTGTATCTTCTCAAACTCATAAAAATTATATTCTCAATTACGTGGACCTCACTCGTTTATGATGAAGATTTCAAATATAATGTCATTTTGTTGATCAATATATAAAATATATTTAGTACAATCCACTTAAGTAAAATGTCCAGCATTCATAATGTCTTCATTAACTTCAAGGCCTTAGTAGAAAAACTCTTTGATCACAAAATATCTTTAGCTCATACAAAAGCTGAGTATCAAGCTCTAGCCACATCTCTCTATTAACAACATTTCAAATTCTAATAAACATCTCGTCCAGCAAAACATAAACATAATGGATACTCCAAAATATATCATCATCATCATCATATTGTCAAAATTGATCTCTCTCCCATCACATGCATCCATTACATTAATCAGCTAGATTATGCAATTGTCACGATAGTCTACCTCACAATGTGTCTAGCCACTTCCATGCTCTATCTATTTTTTTCCATATGAACAACTTTTTGGCTTTCTCCTAATAATTCTTAACAATGTGCGTTTGGCTACCTTTGTTACCCATGACCTCCTATAATTTCGTTGACTTAACCCTCGTTAACCCTCGTTTAAAATGCTCATCTCTATCTTGGCATCACAACATCCAAATCCTAATCTCCCACAATGCCAATTATTGAGTTTGTGTTTTCGCATGCATCTCATGATATGTCTACAGAAATAATCTCTTTGCAACATTCTCCCATCCTTCCCATGTCCCTTATCCCTCATCTAGAACTCTCATCATACACACCATTCATGATGTCACCCTTTATTATGCTAGTATTATGGTAGCATATAAAGGTTACAAAGAATCAAACCAGCCTAAAACCTATGACTACTCAATTGATCCATTCTCTGTAAGTCAATTGACTAAATTCAATCACACCAAAAACTCTCAGACCCCTCTATAGCTAACACGATAGCATATACCACAACAACAAAACTGACTCAAAATCCCTCTAAATCAAACACATTCACCAATGACACCTAAACAAAAAAATAGCATTCACAAGCAAATCCAAAAACCCGCTCTCATAGCAAATCATGAACCAACCAAAATAACCCAAGCACTTGAAGATCATGTTATGAATCAAGCCATTCAAGATGAACATGATGGTTATTCAAAATGAAACTAGTCCCCTGCCATCACTCAAAATTTGGTTGATTGTAATTGTGTTTTATGAATCAAATATAACTTTGATGGATATATTAACAAGAATAGTTTTTATCAATGACTAAGAATTAGGTACTATGAAACCTTTAGTCTTTTTGTCAAGACTGGAATCATGCATTGGATTCTCATTATAACGGTCAACCAATGGAGGTACCGATGTCAACTTAATGTTAAAAATGAATTTCCTTAGGGCCATCTTTCTAAAGATTCCTTCAAGGAACAACCCCTAGACTTCATTAACACAGATTATTCTACTTACATTCATAAGCTTGTTAGGCCATATATTGCCTCAAGCAATCACCCCATGCCCAGTACCATAAGCTGCAATAATTTTTTGTTGCTTTCAACTTCAATAAATCTCTTGCAAACAGACCTCTTTTTATCTTCAACATTGGTGATACACTCATCTATCTTTATCTGTATGTTAATGATATCATTGTTACAACAAAATCTAGCAATGTAGATAACATTGTCCCTCAACTTGCCCAAAGATTCTTCATCAAGGAATTGGGCCATTAATCTATTTCATTTGTATGAAAGTTAGTTTACATTCAAAAGAGAACTCTTATCTCAGTATTCAGTACATCCTTGATCGCCTTGCATGTACTAAGATGACAAGTGTTATTCCCATGACCATACCTCTTGTCACATCACCAACACTCATTTTTCATTATGGTCCAATGCTCGTCCATTCGACTAATAATAGTGATGTAACGTGTAACTTACAAAATTTCATACTTAAAAACCCATATTATACTTTCACAGTTAATAAACTCTCTTTATACAGAATTTCAACACTTATCACGGCATAAAACTAATTAGCTATTGTGCTCTTTGTTTGGCGCTATTGATTATGCCCTTACTCTTCATTATGAATTCAACACCCCATCAACTCCATGTATTCTCCTATATTAACTAGACAGTTAACAAGAACGGGTCATCCCTACAAGTGCCAAAATTATGTATCTTAGCTGAAACTAATATCCAATTGTCAGAAAATAAAGTAGCATATCTCACTCCTCCATAGAGTTTTAATAGCATTCTTTAGCCAACACCATTGTAGATTTTCATTAGATATTCTCTCCACTCACCAAACTTGGCATTCACCTTTCTCAGTCCAAACTCTATGCATAGCTAGTGTTTTGATCATTGATGAACCATGTTGATGGCGATTATTTTTTTGGGGGGGAAGGAAGTTCAAGATGGTGTTATTCATGTGATCATGTATTGCCTGAAGATCAACAAATGGATGCTCTCAACAGTCCTCATCCACACACTTACTTATCTATATTAAGTTTCAAGATTGGACTCTCAGATTGAACTTCCGCCTTAAGAGAGGCATGTAAAGGAACAAATACATTAATTATAGGGGTTTTTACGTACCAACCATCCAAAACATTATATATGACATTTTAACCACCCAAACTTCAAATATAACCACTTTTTTCATTACAATCATCCTCCTTTACCCACTAGTAAATGTTTCTAGTGAAGATTTTGGGTGGTGGTTAAAGCATTATCTTTAAAGTTCTGGGAGGTTAAGTGTTATATTTAAAATTTGGAAGGTTAAAATGTTATATTCAGTATTTGTTTTGGATGGTTGTTATGTAGAAACCCTTCATGTAAGTATTAGCCTGTTACCTTCGGTGACAATTTTCCTTTCAATTATTTGACATGCATTTAGTTGACTAAATTTCATTTATAGGAAGATTAACAACTATTGCCAATCCTAAGTTCGGATGTGAAAGACTACGGTTTAATATTAGGTTCTTATGTCCATGTTAATAAAATAATCCACAACTGTATAGTTACTTTAGTTTATTTTCATAGCTTGGTTAAAAAAAAAATAATAATAAAAATAATTGACATTTCAAAGAAAAGTTTGAACCAACAAATTCTGTTTATTGAAGCATTGTGAAATGCTATTATTCTAAAAGAGATGAAGAGCAAAATATCCCACATAAATGTGTTCATGCTGTGGTGACATTTAAAAATCCTAATGAATATTCTGCATTTTTACCTTAATAACTTGCATTAATTGACTCCAACCAAAAAGCTATGCTTTTATTTAAAAGTGACAGAAAACATATCCATGGTATAGTAGGAGAATGAACCCATGAGGGATTTAAATATGAAGAATAATGACCAAAAAAAAAGTTTCATTAACATAGAGTCATATAAGGGCTAAAGAATTTCATCCTAATATAAATTATAATTTAAAAGAGGGTGAACTGGCAAGCATGTACAATGGAAGAAGAAGAAAATATGACTAATAAAGTAGGGGCTTGGTGATGTGGAAGTTCTAGGAAAGAAAAGAGGAAAACCAACAGGATATAAGTTGTACAAAAACGTTTTACATAAATTAGAAACTAAACCATATATTATTGAAAAAGCCAGCAATGATGATTGCTAAGTGATAAAGTATATAATTCCAAACACAAAGGCCCCCAACCATAAGAAACTTTTACATAGAATTTTCAAGGTTACCCAACACTCTACCAAAATTGAAGAACAACATCTATAAATCCTAACAATGCAACCATGCAAAGTGGTTAGATATGAACAATATATTGTTAAGTTAAGGGAGTGTACAATAAACTAATTATATTTTCCGCATGGGGATTTCAGATAAGGGCTTGCACTCAACGGCATGGTGATTTTTATTATGGATGTTTCGGGCATGGAATTCACCACCATTCATTTTGTCACCCTCAAATCCCTAAAGTAGATCAAAGGTTAAAACCCTTTCACCACTTGGATTCCATTAATGGATAAACAATGTCAGGCTTCAGCATCATCAGATCAACACATGATCTTTGAAACTACATAACCTACAATATCAACATATGTCAAATGATTCATCAGTACGATAGCTGAAAATGAAAGTTCTTTATTTGAATATCCATCAACCGCTTTTCATATGTCGCAGCGGAATCTCATCCCACCACCACCAAAAGATAAGAAGAAGAAGGAAAAATCAAAGTCAAGGACCATGACATCCGATGATCAATTTATGATACATGTATAATAAACCCATAAAAAACAAACGATATCATTAAGAATTGGACCATTTGCTCATCACAATTAATCTGGTACAAACTTACATGTAAACTTGAGTTCCCTCGGTTGGATCTCCAAAAACTCCGATTCCATCCCTCAAAGACAACGGCCTGCCACAATCCCAAACTCTACTCCCTCAACCTGCAAAACTCCAGCTTAAAGGATCAAAGAGGGGACAAAATCCCATCAAATCCCCATCTCAGAAGGACAGCAGGTCATCCAAAAGAGCAGATTAGACAGTCATTTCGATATCGCCGGAAATCAAAGGATCACAAAAGAGAAATACCTAATCACCAACAACTACCTAGCCAGATCTTCATTATCAAAACACCATTTGGAGCGAGAAAGACTTACCAGGAGATGCAGAATCCCAACGACCAACAATTCCGGGAAATGAGAGAGGGAGGGAGAAGAACCGTTCTACGATCCTACAATTTATGAAGCCATTGTGCTGTTCGGCGCGGGGGTCCATCATGTAATTATTGCAAAAGCCCTCAATATGAATTTAAATTTTCAAGCAGTAGGAAAGTGTGTAAAAAGGCTCCAATCATTTCTTAATTTGCACAGCAAGCCCAGAAAGCTATAAAAGGTTTTTTCACATTTTTTTGATAAATCTTATTTTTAATTAATTTTTAATTTGTTTTAAGAGAGACGACACACGCTAAGCTCGGGGATTCCGGAGGGACACTGGTAATACGGGGGAGAGGGCGGCATCAACCCTACATCAATAATTACATACCAAGCCTTTTTTTTTTTTTGGAAGATTTATAATAATACCACTCCACATCAATAATTGCCAACCCTTTTTTTTTTTTGGAAGATTTATAATAATACCACTCAAGTCTTATGTATTTACATATCTAACAACTACACTTCAATTTTTGCATACAAATCATCTTTCATGTAAATTAAAAGGTGTATTTTATTTTATTTTTAAGTTAAAATGGGAGTAATTTTTGTGTGATGTGAATGATGTGGGAGGTATAAGTGTAAAATTCTAAGTTTAGTTGTTACATATGTAAATGCATAGGAATTGGGTATTACGTATGTAACTCTCTCTCGGCCCGCCCTTTTTTATCTGTGTTCTTTTAGGTAAGTTGTATTTATTATATCATGTTGAAGTAGAAAAGATCAGATCTCAGAATTATGATAATTGTGTTTAATATCTTGTTGGCATCATAATAAATATTTTGTAAATGATTTTGTAAGAAAATATTAGCAAAAATAGTATTTTTGAGATGAAATTAAAATATTGAAGGAATTATATGATTTATCACAGTTGGAATGACTCCAAATTTAAGCCCGAACTTGATGTCCATTACTTTTTTTTCCTAATTGGTATATTTATGTCCTCTGCTTAACCCCATTAAAATAGAATCATTTAACTCTATAATTTATATAACTTATAGTTATTGTAATTTGAGAAATATCTATATTATTTGTTTGCTTGGAGAAATATATCTCAAAATTTTGACTATATGTAACACTATTGTAAGATAACAACAACAAAACTGTTTATCCCACTAAGTGGAGTCGGCTACATGAATCCTTTTTCTCCATTGCATCCTATTTAGTGTCATATTTTTATTTAATTCTAATAAATTATGATCATTTTTTTATACAATTCCTAGGTCTATCTCTGCCTTTCTTAACTTTATTTTCTTACATTATTCCACCCAAATCTTTCTATACTCCTTGAGGCAACTTTTTCTTGCCAAAACATTTCACTTCTCCCACTGCACAGCCATCATTTTACCTTAAGTAAAATGCTTTTGTCATATTTGTTAACGATGTGGCTTTGATATCAAGTGACTGAATGAATTTCTAACATATTTGTTAGCGACAAAACATCTATATTAGATGCAATCTTGGCATCATGCAACACACCTTTGCATCTCTTGTAAGAGTGAAGTAAATTAAAAAATTGGCAAAGAATGTAAGTACAATTTTACTTCTTAAAAGGTAAAATAATGATATTTTTATGTAATATGAAAGATTTGTGGTATAAATATAAAAATAAAAATATGTGTGCCAAATAATGTAAATATATTGAAATTGAGAGGTAAGAGTTCCTTAAGACTAATAGATCAAATTCAACAAAACATACACAATAAAAATTAAAGATTAAAAAAAAAAAAGAAAGATTTAGCACTCAAATATTTAAGATCATACAAAAAATAACTCCATTATTAGCATAGATTTATTAACATCAAAATGTTATAAATGCAAATATGAAAGTTTAGATGCTATATATGCAAATACATGTAAATTTTCCTAAGAAATAATGAATGGGCAAAATTGTAAAGCTGTGTCACTGAAACCAATCATACATATCAATGAACAAATAACAAATTGAAATTACAACATTACTACAAACATTTAATTAAATCATTCTTTAAATGCATTTTATAAACACAAGCAATCAAATGAACCTCAGGACTTCAAATGCTGCAAGTGGGAAATACTAATAGAAAATTGCTGCAGAAGCACGAAAATCAAGAGTTTTTTCATGTCCTGACAATTAATTCCTTCAAAGATTTCATTGGTGAATTATATCTATAAGCAACTGAATCCCTCCAAAAAGCCAATCCTAATTGAAATTAATAAAAAAATTTATGAAATTTAGTAGGTTATTTAACATTTGGGCCATGACATTTACAGACATACCACACAATTCTTATGTATTTACATATCAAATACCCAAATATTCACATTTACATGCACACCACTCAAATCATTAATATCACATAAAAAATACCACCATTGCTAACTTTTAAAAAATTAAACAAAAAATGTAGTATATTGTCAAATAATCAACTTAGATTTGAAAGTTATTGACAAAAATTTCAACAATTTCACTGAAACCTGTATACCAAAAATAAAAAAAAAGGGCAACAGATTTCTATAAATTCATTATTTCCTCTTTAAAAATGTAGGCACACCATAACAAACAATTGAGGCCCCTATTATGGTAGAAAGTTCATAAGCTCCCCTCTTTTCTCTAATAAATGATGCAACTCTCAATTTGGTTTCACTAAACCTGCAATTCTCCACAACAATCCTTGCAAATTTTGAAACTTTTCTTATGGATGGAAAGTTTGATTTTCCGCCATTAAAATTATCTGTCAAATTGATTCATTTGTTGCACTTATGAGGGATGGAGTCCTGAATCCATGAGTTGAGTATGACCTTCGCAAAAAGGGCGATTTATTCAATGTTACGTTCCATAGATTTGCAATAATTGTAGGGGAGCCTGCAAATAAGTTGTGAAGAGGAGCACCTTGAGGCGCATAACACTCTTGTTGTCTAAGAGATTCACTGCTACAACCCATCAGAAAAACAACAGCATAGCTACTGAGTTTTCCAAAAGACTCTGCGCATATATATTGCATTCCTGTGGCATAAAAAGAGAGAGAGACTTACATAGATACCACTCAATTCCCGATGTAGTCATATATCTATCAACTGTTTTTAAATGCATGTCACCTTATCTGTGATTGAAATGTATATTTTTACTTTTTAAAAGTTAAGATGGTGGTATTTTTTATGAGATGCGAAAGAGTTGAGTGGTATAAAGGCAAAAATATATAGTATATGTGTTAAATATGTAAATTAATAAGAATTCGATGATATATAGGTAAATGTGGTGAAGAAAAAAAAATTACCTAAATAAGACTCAATTCATGTGTATTAGCATGTCTTACGCCTAAACTTCAACTTTTACTTATATGTCACATTATCTATACAAGAAAATATGTATTTTACTTTTTAAAGTTGTAAAAGCAAAAATGACTGTAATTTTTGTGTGATATGAATGATCTTGGTAGTATGAATTAGGTGTTCAACATGTAATACACAGAAATTAGGTGATTTAAAACTATTAAACAACTGCAGCACCATTATGAAATAATAATCATGTTAAGACAAACTTACCACTTCCATGACTAAAATACCAGAATAGGTCATAATTTTGTAAAGCTAATAATAATTCCTCAATTGTTGGAACATTTCCTATTTTGTCATGTGCAAGAACAAAAAGCTGCTTGTGGCACCAAATAGAAAAAAAACCAAATAGAAAAAAGGCACCAAATAGAAAAAAAAAGACAAATAATTTTAACATAAATACAAAAAATGTTTACATACATACCTTTTAATTCTTATGTATTTGCATATCTAACTAATACATAAACATCAATGATATGAAAGGTTTAGGCAATATAAATATAAGAAGTTTTGGTGTTAGATATGTAAATAAATAGGAATTAGGTGGTATCTAAGTTAATGCCACGAAAAAAAGAGATTGCTTTGAATGTATTCGAAGAGAGTGTTACCTCTCACTTAAGATTTTGAAACCATTTTTCCAATTCTCATTGTATATAATTGAGACTACGATCAGGATTAAACAAATAATATGCACGAAAAGGGTCTATGTATGGAAGATTGACTTCAAATGTATTCTTTTCACTGACATGATGGTTTAGTTTTAGCAAAATGTTGCCTAAGAAAGGCACGCGATAAACTGTCCGATTTTTCGTTATTGGCATGCTCTCCCATGGGATCATCTAGGGTCATGCAACCATGGCTTAGGATAGCTCTCAAGTGAAAAAACTACTTTATTCTAAATAAAACTTTCCTTGCAAGCTAAAATGAAGGTTATTCAAAAAGTGGACAAGGCTAGAATGAACAAAAGAAAGTCAATCGATCTATCACCAGTGCAAATCTAAAAGGAACATGACTAAAGTGGCAAAATAGACCACAGACTATATTAGCAATAGAGTTTATACAAATGCTAAAATAATTCTCACCGGTATTGTTTCAACTAATATTAAAAGAGTTTGTGGACTAAATTGACATTTTAATTGTGGAGAATTTATATGCATACCACATAAATGTTATGCATTTACATATCTAATAAATAAACTTTATTTTTCACATTTATAGCACCCAAATCTCTTATATCACATCAAAAACACAATCAATTTTACTTTTAAAAAGTGAAACATATTTTCATGCATAGGAAAGATAGCATGTATGTTAAAATTGAACTTTAGGTGTTGATATGTAAATACATAAGAGTTGAGTGGTATATATTCAAATATTCTTTTTATAAACTCTACGACTAAAATGATTTCTTCAAAAAAATCGGAGGATCAATTTGACACTTTTCACCAAATAAAAGTTTGCAATAGGTGGTTCAATACCAAACCAAAATGTTTATTCGCTATCAAATGAAAGTGATTATCTGCACATCAGAATGTAAAACGAGAATAATTGGTTGCCTGCTGACTTTCATGTCTTCGCCAATTGATTTTGAAATCAAACTTTCAACATATGTGAGGACTGACTTAACTCTTTTACTATGGTCAGCAAATGCCCTGAACCCTTGCTCCCCACAACATCCTCCCCAGCCAAAGAAACCTTTATAACAGTGATTGAACAATGCAGGCTTCAACAAC